TTGCGGATTTTTGGACCCCCTTGTTTTTTAATATAGGATATCATTTTTTTTTAATAACATGGTCTTATAGTTTTATGTATATAATTTATTGTTCAGAACTACAGATCAAACTTACACATACACGACTTTAAAATGTGAATAAAATAATTAAAAGTAGGCATTAAAAGAATGAAAATTACTAGCAATAACTAGGGAATTTAAATTTTCTATTATACTGATTCCAAAACTTGAGATATCCATTACATCTCACAAGTCACAACAGATAACTAATAAAAAAACGTCATAACTCACAATTCAAAGGCAGTAAACTAGAAAAGGATGTCGTCTTCACCCCACAAACATCATGAACTCTAAATATGAGGTTGAGTTTGATCATCACTAGCAACATGGCACCCACGCCCAAGGTCATCTGGCATCCAAACAACGTACAAGTCAAGCTAAAAATCCGTTGCACCATACTTTGCAAGTTGGGGGCACTTTGTCCATGGTTGGTCCATCATGAAGCTACAATACATTAAAATAAATAGAGTGCATATATTTGAGTAAATTTAGAAAATTAGAGCCAAATTAAATATGAAGCGAGTAAAAATTTAAATGACAAATACATCTTCAACTTACATGGATATATTTTCGTCCTTTGCCTTGATTGTGATGTCTATCCCAAGTACCCCCGTAGTGTGACAATACAAGTCAAGTTCCATGAACACTTTGTCTTGGACATCTGAGTTGGGGTTGACCTTCACATTATACTTGTTAATTGCTTCCATGAAACAACCCCTACTCTCCATCTCAGAATCAGTATAGTAATAAGCAGGGTTGAGACCGTACCCTCCTAGGTGTGGGGGTCCCTCCAACTGTAAATCTCATTTATCATATACAATTTTCAAAATGGGGCCATATTTACTTCCAGTTTTCTTCAAGTTCATCTTAATTTCTTCTCTTGCAGCCTCAATTGACTCGTAAATATGCCCAATAGCCGGTTCCTTTTCAGTGTCCATAACTCGCAGTACTTTTACAAGTGGCTCAAAAAGATAGATGCAGTACCAGACCCTACTCCAAAACCTGATGTCATACACCATTTTGCTCTTTGCCTCAGACCATTTGCTTTCCTTCCAATATGAGGAGACAAATATGGTTCAAATCTTGTCTTTTTTATTGCTAAGAAAATTTTAAGACAAGTACGAAGGTGCAAACCTCGTGATCCCTGGCCTCACCAAGTGCCCTTCTGTATACTTCCTCATCATAGCTAAAAAATTGGTGTGGCTGTAAAAGACAATCGTTACAGCTTTTGCTTTATCTATTATCCCCTTAACCGCTTTCTTCTTATCAATCGCTTCAAACAGGATGTCAATGCAATGCGTCGTACAAGGCATCCAAAAAATGTGCAGCGTCCTCATCTCCAACAATCTAGCAGCCGCCATATTGGCCTTAGCTATATCAGTGACAACTTGCTTAACATCTGCCTCCCCCACCTCCTTAATTTACTTATCCCACAACTCCAGATATGAAACTCGTATCATGAGTCTAATCATATACGCCAATGGACCTCAAAAGAATTGTTCCCATAAGACAATTAACCAGTAAATTCATAATACTCCTCGATCTCTTATCGCTCCAAGTATTTGTCATAATGGTCACCTCGCTCCTACCCCATACATCCTTGTGGGTCTTCAAGTACTTATTTGTGAGCTCCATTGCCTTTTTCAATAAAGGAACCTTGAACTCATAAGGTGTAACGGCCCTATATCTTGGCCAATCTGCCTCACTAACTCCAACATACTTTTGGAAGCTCTTCAACCTTGCAATATTAGAGAACAGACCTGCTTGATAATACCATCGAGCTATAAACTGATTAACCTAATCCCTATCCTTCTTCTTCAATTGACTCTCCACACTAGTCGATGCTTGTAGTCTTTCTTGAACTACCACCTCAGGATCGGGAGGGGGAAGAATGTATCAATAGGCCCCTTCCTCTTCTTCTTCATCTTCATCTTCTATTCCATAGATATTTACAAATCTCCTAGGGTCTTCTTATTGTTTCCTTGTCTCTTCTCTCTTCTTTTGAAATTTAGATCCCATGTAAAAGTTTCAACATCTCTTTCCTAACATCTCCAAGGACTTGAATACATAATACTATGTCCCCTCTAATGCTGCCTGAATGCTTCTTGAATCAATTAATTGTCAGTATTGTACTCATTAAGAATTTGCAAGCTACATTGCTTTTATCATTAGGATTAGGATAACTCTATATTTCCATCCCAAATCAACTTGTTTATTTGAACTCGAGGAAGACATTGTCACCTACAACCCTTTATTATCAATTTATCACCTAATCCTAAAAATTACACAAAACCACTAAAGTCAAACTTGAATACATTTACAAGAAGTCTAATTTGTAGATAAATTCACAAAAGCAAGATTAATTTACAACTATGTAGTCTAAATTTTTAAAATTGATTATCCATTATCATCATCAAAGCCTTTTCCCAATTAATTGGGGTCGGCTACACGAATCCTGGCTCGCCATTTTGCTCTATTTTCAGATTCATGAGAAGTTTTGGCAAAGTTTTACATTGGCTGCCTACCTAACGCAACCCACCCCTTTTACCTAGCTTGGGACGGGTTAAGGGAAAGCTAAAGGTCCCCAACCTTCTTAGACCATTAAAATTGATCATCTAGATAATATTAAAAATTGATCATCTAAAAACTACAAATAGGCAACGAAGTTGAAAGAATAATGTTGCCCCTTCTCAATAGTTTAACAATCCAAGGAAGAAGTAAAGCTAGCGTGCTCAAGGGGGGAATTAAAAAAAAAAAAAAAACTAAAAATAATGTCAAAAACCTCAAGGTAAAACCTACACATCAAAATTGCAATGATTTAAAGCATAAAATTGAAAAACAAATTACAAATCATATAAGTAAACTAAATCATCATCATCATCATCATCATCATCATAGCATTTTCTCAATTATTTCAGGTTGGCTATAAGTAAACCAAACCATGTAACAAAAAATATTAAATTGGTTTGGGAGCAATGGGCTTTTCCCATTGATTTGGTTTCTCGATCTAAAAATCACAAATAATATCGAAGTTACTCATCAACAAGGCAATGGTTTAAAGTAGAAATGGGAAAAAAACTATGAATCATGCAAGTAAAAACTCATGCAAAAAAAGCAAAAAATGCATTAAACAATCCTTTGGTTTGGGGGCAATGGACTATTTTCATTGGATTGTTTTCCCAAACTAAAAAAGAAAACAGGAAAATAATCCAAATACAAAATATTAAAAATATCAAAAAATAAATACATACATTTTACACAAAAAATACATAACCCAGATTAATGGAATCAATATTGGACCAAATTGGCAACTTTTGGTTGCCAAAAATCCTCCTTTGCAACCACATCAAGCTCCAAAAAGATTCAGGATGCTATGTTAAAAAAGTCTGCGCCCAGTCGGTTGGGAGGCCATGCTACCCCGCATTGGGACAATTCAGCAAAGTGCAGGATGGTGGCCCTAGTCGACCGACTAATCGGTTGACTAATCGCCCTCGGCGGCCAAGTAATCGGCCCCTAACCCCCATCCGCCCTTTCTTTTACATGTTGGCCACCTAGGTCACTAAGCGGTCACTTGGGTGACCGCCTAGCTGGTTGGGGCCCCCGACCGCCCAAGTGGCCACCCCCATCTTTGTGAACATTGTCAAGATGATTGTTTTTCGATTTTGCAAGGGTTCGAGTTGGAAAATATTTTCAATCTTTTGAAATATCTAGAAATCTATGTTTTTAGAGGGTTATCTCTCTTTAAACTCACCACAAGGTTTTTGAGGGGTAAGAATGCCGCCCAAAACCCTTTTCCCTCTTTCTAGGGGGAAAATGATGACAAGAAGCCCTCGGTTGAGGCCATTTTCTGCCCTCAGCCAAGGGCAAGAGAGGTGCAGCCTAGCACCCACCTTGCAAGGGTGTCTAGGCAGCGCCTTGGGAGCTTAGACATGCCTACTAGGCGGTTTGTCGGCCAGGCCGCCTGGGTGGCCGGGCGGCCAACTTTTCCAACTTTGGGTGAGTCCATGTTGTGACATCTAGAAAAGCGTTCTCTTGGGCAAACTGTATTGCATTCTATTGTGGTCATCAGAAATACCATTGTTATTTGCCGACCATTTTTCTTTCTTTCTTTCTTTCTTTCCTTTTTCCTTTCTTTTTTTTTTTTAATGTTAACTTGGGATGGGTGAGATTGTAACTCTTGATTTCAAATTGTAGCTCCCTACCCTAACCACCATCCAAGGGCCCCACTCTTGTTGTTTACCTATTGTTATGCAATGAATATTTACTATTATAAAGCAATACCAATGATATCAACCTCTGTCCAGAAAAGTAAGTCAAGAGATTCAATTTTCATCTAAAGGGAACTCTTCAACATTTCCTAATATTTTGATGAGATAGTGAATCGCACTGAACCAAATCAGGAGTAAAAAAAAGTTGATAGTACTGGAGCGATGACCGTAATCACGAATTTGGGAGACAAAATCTTACAATGCAATGCATGAACTTCAAATGAATCCCAAACTAAGAAGGACATGGTTTCTATGCAGCCAGCTCGCATATTGTACAAATGCAGGCTTGGCAATAAATATATTTTTAAAATATAATTTGGTCCTAATTTTTTGAGAATATATAATCTTTAACATGGAGATCATGAATATGAAAAAAAAATAAAAATAAAAAATAAATGGAAAACTAGAAATAATAATCATGTTAAAAAAACATTTATACCGTTAGATACAATTGTTTTTAGATGGACCCCCTATTTGCATCCATCTTTAAGATGGATGCTTTACACCTCTAGACCGCGTATTGTAGAAATGCGGTCCAGCCCGAATGAAACAATTTCCAACTAAGAAGGGCACAACTACGTTCAGAACATGACATATGAATGCCATTAATTCGGAACCTAAGAAAACTCCAAATATCATAACTACATTAATAAAGCCTTATGTAGAAGTTACCGAATTGGAGTATCTGCATTGTGGAGAACAGAATGATTGTATTGCAACACGGCCAACACATGTGATGCCTTCCTCAGTTCTGAAAGTCATGTAAGAAAGTGTATTAGCCATATGATAAAAAAGTACGAAAATATGAATGATTAACCAAATTCTAAAGTCCTTTTGAGTTACTTTCAGAAGGAATTTGCATTAATTGGAGTGATAAAATTCAGAAACCTAATTATATGAATTCATGCTTCCTTGTCTGAATTGGAAGTTCTTGAGAAAACTAGATTTGAATGACATTTGTTTGTACTATCAAATGTACGAGTAAAATGGCAGCATACATGAAAAGGAACAAAAGATAGCAATAGCCTGTTCTAAACATCAAGCACCTCCCACAGAATATTAACAAAATGGGTAATGATTTCACGCAACAGTTGTATAGTAGTATAATGCAACCATCTTCAAAAACTATGTTAGAAATATTTGTTTGACACAAATTTTTAAATGTACTCTCTTTTCATTCTGAATAACAATCACAAAATAGAAAATTTTGAAAAAAATACTCTCGAAAGTTTTTATTCTAGCCCAATTAATATAAGCCGTCCATTTTATTGCGATGATTAGATATAGGCTCATAAGCATTTTTTTATGCCCAAAGTTTTTATATAGCGTTATCATCATTAGATTAATAATGGTAAAAAAGGCAAAAAGTGATTTTGAATTTCTTAAGGCCTAGATCTTGAAATTCACGAAATGGATGGTCGAGATTTATTGTTGGATGGGTACTAATTTTGACCATATCTAGGGTGCAAATTGAAATTTTTTTTCGTAGGATTGATTATGAGGATGAAGAGAATGTGTGTGCAAAATTTGGGGTCATACAAATGCCAAAAATATGGTTTTCTAGAGGTGTGGTTGCATTATACTACTATACAACCGTTGCATTGGATTATTTCCCAAACAAAAGAATGATGTGAAGTACAAATGTAAAACTTATAAAATCCATCCCTAACTCTAAAGCTCCCCTAAAATGCTCTAAAACTTGCTTGATTACAGTTTTAAAACTATTTTGCAAATCTCATCATCGGCTTAGTGGTCCTGATTTTGATCTTTGTGAAATATAGAGGCAATGAAATACATAAATCCTTTTATTGATGAGCATGTATTTTCTTTCGCTACTAAAACATAGGTCTGTGAGAGAAGTGCAGTAGATGCCAAAAGTAAACAACATATTTTTCTGCGAGGTGAGGCATGCAGAACCCTATCACAATAATTGATCGCAACAGGACACATTGGTCACATGCATATTTTATAGGAGTATTCATGCATAATGTTCAGTTTACAACCTTCTGAAGCTGTACTCTCTCTTGCTCTCTCTCTCTCTCTCTCTCTCTCTCTCTCTCTCTCTCTCTACTCT